GTGAGGGTTAGGAGTTATTTTTAATTGCCGGTCTACAAAAGAACATTGGGAGAAATTCTGTTTCATTTGTATTTGCTCTATCTTCTTTAAACATTAAGCTACAGGTTTAACCTAGGGACCTTAAAGACAGGGATGGGTTAAAAGAAATATTAATATATGTTAAAGAATATTAACATACGTTCAAAGAGACGCTTAGCTCTTTGGTTCTTCAAGTCAAATGTGCAGATCCACAATCCAGATCAAGATAAGTAGCAGTAGGACAATATATCCCCTAATTTCTTGCTGCCTAATTTATGCCAGTAGCTCTTTCTTTACATGCACAGAGGTTTCTATTCTATTTTATGTTTAGAAGTTAAAGATCCACCAAGGAGGAACGATGTAAATTAACCTTAAGAGGTGACAAATGTGCAAATAAAAATACGGTACTTCTGGAAACTGTCAGATTCTACTTTGGGCACATTATGTGAAGACTTAGCTTTCTGGGAAAGGTGGAAGCAAAGACAGGAAGAGGATTATTTAAATAGTGGTTAATAATAATAATAATAATAGTAATAATAATAATAATAGTAATAATAATAATAATTCCCTCGCATCTTCTTGAATTGAATGTTTTACGGCTTGTCTTGCCAGGAAGGCATGTTTAATAATCAGAATACAGTTGGAAGGGACCTTGGAGATCATCTAGTCCAGGGGCAGGCAACTTTGGCTCTTTTATAACTCATGGACTTCAACTCCCAGAATTCTGGGAGTTGAAGTCCATGAGTCATAAAAGAGCCAAGGTTGCCTACCCTTGGTTTCTAGTCCAACCCCCTGCTCAGTCAGGAAACCCTACACCATTCCAGACAAATGGCTGTCCAGTCTCTTCTTAAAAACTTCCAGTTTTGGAGCATTCACAACTTCTGGAGATAGGTTGTTCCACCGATTAATTGTTCTAACTGTCAGGGAATTTCTCCTTGGTTCTGACATTATGGTGACAATGATTGAACCATTAGGCGTCCTGATAGAGCAGCTTATGGAGAAAATCTATCTGATTGAGAGGAATTGAAAATAACGATGGCACATAATCAATCAGTATAAAACCCCCAATATTGCACAGTCTTGCAATATTTAAAGGGCTGTCCCCAATTGGGGTCCAGGAGAACCCCAAGCTCTATAACCATTCTTCAGAGTGCCCGTAATCCCACTCACAATATGCTGTATGGACAGATCTTCTCTACCCTGACTGGATTCAGATTTAGTCTGCTCATTTCTGAGCTCCACTTGATACCGGCCTTGAGATTTGTTACTTCTCCTGCATCCAACGAGAAGCAAGGCTGGATCTGATCCACATCTCCCTGCAAACCTCCAGATGTCCTTTCCCGGCAGTTTTATTTAGCAGCTGAATGCGCGCAAGAGAAGGTGGTGCCCCTTGGATCAAAAGCCCATGCAGATACCCTGAACCACCTTTTGGTATCAACTGACTGAAAGAAGATCCTGGAGACCTGATCCTATAACCCAGCCCTGCCAGGTATAGCAGAAAGATGCCATGGTCAATAAATCAAGCAACATTGAGGAGTTCAAGTGACACAAGATTCATGTCCCTCTTTCAATGTAGACCCGTCCGAAAAAAACCATGGCAGATAATTCAGTTTCCAAACCTCGCTGAAAGCCCCATGAGAATAAATCTAATTAATGGTCACAGTTGGAAACTTGACCACCGCTGACCAGGGGATTTGAACGAGGGATTGCTAAAACTCAATAAGCTGTCTGCTCTCCAGTTCCAAGCAATAGCACTAGGTGAGCACCCAATGTCAATTTAAACAATTACGTTAAATTGGTGGCCCCTTGAGCTACTTCTGAGGATCATTTCACATCTCGAATGAATCTTTCCACCAGGTCACACCGAGAAGGGAAGTGTAACCACTCAGTTCTCTGATGGGATATTCTATTAGTGTGTGCTTGACCAATTTTATATTAGTCACAGTTTAAAGGTCCTTGCTTTTCAAAGATGCTGGTGCTCATATCCTGGGCCATGTAGTCTTCAATAAAACCTGGATTCGTAGAAATCAGCCATAGCTTTATTTTCAGCCAGTTGTTCATGCTGCAAGGAACATCCTGGCTGGACTCAAAGTTATCTTATCAACCCAAGAGGGAACAGAACATTCTGCTACGGAGAGGCAAATATACTCTGTCCTAATGTTATGCACAATTTATTTAAGAGTTATTTTGTAAGCCAGATAGGACAGATCAATGCACAGAAATGCCGTTTTCTCTGAACTTCCTCGCCAAGCTTTAGTGGGCAAAGCAGGATTGGGGTGTTGGGGGGGGGAAGACTTATAATGCAGCAAGCCAGGTTTTCTTGCGACTTCATCAGGAAAGCAACAGTTCTCCTGGCTTCGTATCCAAATATATCTCCCTGTTACAGAAACTCCGAAAGATATATTAGGAACAAGTTGTACAGTAGGCAGTAAGCAGATGCCCAGTTCTACATCCATATTTAGGAATGCCAAGGACAGCTGGGTGTCTGCTTACTGAGAAACAGTCAGTGCAAGAGTATCATTTTCTGTAATCGTTGCTACTGGCTGTTTTAAGCCTCTAGGCAATGCTTATGCAGGTAAAATAGCCCTTGCACGGAAGCCTTTAATAACATATCCGTGCATTCCATGCCCTGCCTCCATGGTATCTGGCTGGGCTTTCAGTAAACCCCACAGAGAAAATGTAGATCAGTGTTTCTCAACCTTGACTAGTTTAAGATGTATGGACTTCAACTCCCAGAATTTCCCAGCCAGCATGCTCATCTAGGAAATCTGGGAATTGAAGTCCACACATCTTAAAGTAGTCAAGGTTGAGAAACACTGATGTAGATGCTGTTCATATTGATCTCGTGTCTGTTATGGCCAGGGGGTCTTTGTGGTCACTTAAAAGTAGCCCTGCCAGGTACCGGATCTCAAGAAAAATAGGAAATATTTACTGGAAAATAGGAGGGACTTGAGATCTTGTCTCCAGGTTTTCCCATCTTTCCTTCATTTCCACTGAAGATCAGTTACCCCATGCAATTTATACTCTAGGTAGGATTTACTGGGAAAGCTCCATTCTCTCTCCTTTGTCAGAGCTTAGCACAACCAAGTCATTTGTCTCGGGACCTGATCCATTATCCTGGGAAGCGACCATCTCCTCTGCCATGCCATGCTATGCCATGCCATGCCATGCCACCAAGCATCTCCTCTGAGGAACTCCTGGTAGAACATAGGAGCCACCAAGTTTTTCCAACATTGGAAATGGAAAATCTCCAGCTGGTCCATCAACCCCAGTAGTAATGGGAGCCAAAACCAAGAAAGAGAGGGGGGGGTTTCCTGAATGATTACTCGTCAATATGAACATAAACTTCAGCCCTTCAGAAATCTTATGCCTATTATGCACAGCTTAGAATGCCAGCATGTTCTTAGCTGCTGGTGCCATTCAGACTTGATGAACCTTACACCACCCATCCCCAATCTCCCAAAGCTGGAGGACACCAGATTGGAGAAACTGTCTCAGCCTTTCATACTTGGGACCACAGGCAGCCTATCTTCAAAGGGGACTTCTCTAGTTCTGATCTCAGCACCTTCTCACAGTGTCGTTCTGAGAATACGTCAAGCCCACCTCTGCAGGTGGCTCTTGCAGCAAGAGTCTTCTACTCCTTGTTCTTTGATATTTAAAATCATCTGATATTGATAAAACATTCATGGTAAATGGGTAAGAATGTGCCTTCAACTGCCCTACACTATATTTAGGAAAGGTGTCTCCTATAACAGCCTTCTCCAAGGTGGCATCTCCAGAGGTATCGGGACTCCAGCTCCCCAATTGCTTTAGCTAGCATATCTCCAATTTTATTAGAGGACAGAACAATAATTATTTTCTCTTTTGGAGTCTAAACAGCATGAGGATCGCTGTTGAGAGCCCAGGACTACTGATTATTCAAAAGACCAGTGATTATTTCTGGAGCACCAACTTGGGAGGATCTGTTTTCTTTCCCAATGTACAGAACTGGGGTCTCTTTTTAAATCCCAGATGTTTCCAGTGAAGAGAAAGGAATGGCTGTTTTGGTTGTATCTGCTTGGTCAGCTTTTCAAAGGTCCCTGGTTGGCCACTGTCGGTCTAGATCAGTGGTTCTCAACCTTTTTAATGCCGCGACCCCCAACTACTCAACCGGTTGTAAGTCGAGGACTACTCAACTGGTGCAGCACTGTTTGCAGAATGAGACTTTTGGGGGGCTCAGCAGGGCAGAGACAGCCTGGACAATTCCTATTGGCTTTTGAAAGCCAATAGAATTAGACTCTATTCAAGAGAGTCTATTCTATTGGCTTTCCAAAGCCAATAGAATAAAAGGGAGTAGCACAGCTAAGGAAAAGGGGGGGAAAAATGGCGGACTGCGTTGTTTGGCGACCCCCATGAAATGGTCGTTCGACCCCAAATGGGGTCCCGACCCACAGGTTGAGAACCACTGGTCTAGATCCATGGTGGCTAACTTATGGCACGCGTGCCACAGGTGACATGCAGAGCCCTCTCTGTGGGCACGCGTGCCGTCGCCCCAGTCCTAGGCCTTCAGCTGGGTTTTATAAAACCTTTTCGCTTTAGGCTTCCGCCGCCGTGTGCAAAAAAAAAAAAAGGTTCAATCAATCAATCAATTTCAACTTCTTGCGGGAAAAAAATAAGATCTCGCAAAGTTGGAATTGATTGATTGAACTTTTTAGCCCCACCCAGTTTGCCGTTACCACAGCAGCCATGCCCACCCAATGGGCCACACCCACCCAATGGGCCACGCCCACCCAGCACCCGACAATACATGAGTGGGGTTTGGGTTGCAGTTTGGGCACTCGGTCTCTAAAAGGTTCTAGATGGCTTCAGCAAGGCAACTTCTTCAGATCGATTCAGCGAGGAATGAAAACGTCCATCTCTGCAGAGGACGTTCCCCCGTGGACCACATGTGGCAGATCCTCGTTCACCCAACTCTTCCGACTGCATCCATGACATTTACCTACCCTCTAAGAAGCGAACCTTGGGAAGATCTTCGGCTGAGACTTAGCTTATGCATCTCAGCCATTTCTTTCAGCGTCTCTGCTGAGTAAAGGCCAATGGGGTTGTTATATTGCCTGGCGGGGCTCAGCTGGTGTTTCGCTTTATTGTCCTGAGTAAAGACCAGGCCTGTTCTTGAACCTAAGTCAGATTTTGCTGGCGAGAGGTCAGGGGTAATGGGCTGAGAGGAGGACATGGAAGATCTAAAGCTGGCGCTCATTAAGAAGGAAGAACTTTGGGACAAACTGGTCTCCTGTCTGCTGAGGTAGCCTGCGTGGGCACCATTGCTGGCTAAAATGCTATTCCTGGCCCCCACTGAGTTGCTATTTAAGGGACTGAAGCTTCCTCCGTCGCCACTGATTTCCAAGACTGAATCCTGTAGAAGCAAATATACAGGCAAAAGGAAAGAAAGGAGGGGGGGGGAAGGAAGGAAGAAAGAAAGGAAAACGATCATAACATTCATGCAGAAAGGAGAAATCCCCAGCTCCAGCAATCTATACAAAGCAGTAAAGTTGTCAACCATCTATTTAAGAAAAAATAATGCAGTTATTTTATATTCTGAGCTGTCGGGACAGAATCGGATAGCTCAGAAATGCAAAGAGGGTAAATCCAGCTGAGGACATTCCAAAGAAAATCTGGAGTATGTCGCCGTTTAGACACAGAGGGGCAATCCCTTGGTGTGTGATACATCGTTGGACTTGTAGCCCGGTTGGCAACTTTACGTACAGGTAGCCCTCGACTTACAACAGTCTGTTTACTGGCCATTCAAAGTTGCAACCGCGCTGGAAAATGTGACTTATGGCTGTTTTTCACACTTACGACCGTCGCAGGGTCACGTGATCAAAATTCAGATGCGTGGCAACTGGCATGTACTTGTGACAGTTGCAGTGTCCCGGGCCGTTTTGCGACTTTCTGACAAGCAAAATCAATGGGGGAAGCCGCAGTGATGCATTTAACGACTGCGGCAAGAAAGGTCGTAAACTGGGGCAAAACCCCACAGAAATGTGGGCTCCATTGTGGTTGTAAGTCAAGGTCTACTTGTATGAAGTGTTTGCATCCAAACAAATAAGCAACTTCAAGAGACTTGCATTAGCCAAGCAAAAATCTTAACTTCGCCTCTTCCCCCGAAGAGGGACGTCAATAAATCTTCTCCAAGCAGCTGCTATTATTACTTATGTAACAGGCCGTCCAGTGTGATTGCCAGATTGCTTGGCTGGACAGCACAGTGGATGCTTCAAAGAATCTGGTTGGCTGGACAGCATTTGCATATGTGACAATGCCATAAACGAGAAAGGAAAGGGCGAAAGGGTTTATAGCCGGTCTCTATATAATTAGTCCCAGCTATAAAGGCTGCTGGCAAAGTTCATGCTGATCAAGGCCATTAAACACGCTGAGCAGAACAGGCTGCAAAGAAGAAGCTGTTAATAGACCCTGCCCGGAGCATTGCTTTGACTTGAGCAAAGGAAAGAGAGTCATCTACAACAGAGGTCCCCAACCTTTTGGGCACCAGGGCCATGGAGAAAGGTGTTTCTGTGGACCAGAGGGGGTGTGGTTTTGAATACTGCCTGCATCCCAAGGATGGAGCTTTGCTCGTTTGTACGGCCCGCTTGCTGACACGCTGCGGACCGGTGCCGGGTTGGGGATCCTGATCTACAACACAGGAATCTTGATTCGTGAGTCAGTAATTCTACCCCGGTTGCTCCCAATCTTTCTTTACCCCTTGGCCAAAGAGATAGAAATTATGATCAGATGTCCTCTTCATTACTGGTCATTTGGTCCCTGTTCATGATGAAAAGGTTTCCGAGGGTGAATTGCAAGCTGCCAACTTCCACACAGTGCCAATACACTGCAGGAAGAATTCACGTTCATAGCATCATCATCATCATCATCATCAAAGTTGGAAGAGACCTTGGAGGTCTTCTATCTAGTCCAACCCCTGCTCAAGCAGGAGATCCTATACCATTTCAGACAAATGGATCTCCAATCTTTTCTTAAAAACCTCCAGTGATGGAGCGCCCACAACCCCTGAAGGCAAGCCATTCCATTGGTCAGTTGTTCTCACTATCAGGAAATTTCTCCTTAGTTTTAAGTTGGTTCTCTCCTTGGTTAGTTAGTTTCCATCCATTGTTTCTTGTTTTGCCTTCTGGTGTTTGGGAAAATAATTTGACCCCCCTCTTCTTAGTGGCAGCTCCTCAGATGTTGGAATATAGGTGGATCCATCAACCTAACAATTTTTATAAACTCCCAACGTTTAGATTCATGGAGAATTCTGAATGCTGGAATTAAGTTTCTCTCTGTGCTGACTTAAATAAATAAAAAAAGACATGAGACATCCTTTCAGCTTCCTGTCTTTTAAAAGTCTTTAAACAATGGTAAATGTTCATTTTATCTCATGGCTTGTATCTCTGAGCCAGAGAACCTATCTGTTAAATTGCTCACTCTGAGGGTCTTTTGTGGAAGAAGATACTCAGAGGATCTTAGCGAGATAAGTTGAAGGTTATCTTGTCTCTGATAATAGTCAGGTGTGGGCTATCCCACTTCGTTAATCTCTCAACCTGATTATTTGTGCAAACACCTATATCTACCCTTCATGCTTTTCCTGCTTTGAAAGCTCATCATTTTAGGACAAATGTTTGAAACACAAGGAGAAGAAAGAGACTCATCCTTTTTCTTCTCCTGCTGGAAAGTCAGAAGTGAACTCATAGCTTCCTTGCTTCTGGTCAAGTTTTCCAGGAAACATTTCATTGACTCTTTTCTAGAGTTTCCATTAGAAATGCTGGTTTTAAATATAATCCCTATTCACATTATGTGTTTTAATGGTAAGAAGGCTCTGTTCGTTGCTTGGCCTAGTTCAGGGGTAGGCAACCTTGGCTCTTTTATGACTCGTGGACTTCAACTCCCAGAATTCCTGAGCCAGCATGGCTCAACTTGGAAACCTCTCCCTGTCCCCTCAGCATGGCTGGCTCAGGAATTCTGGAGTTAAAGTCTACGAGTCATAAAAGAGCCCAGGTTGCCTACCCGTGGCCTAGTTATTACTTCGTATTTACTGAATTACTTCAGTTATTTACTGAAGGATTCTTACCTCAGTGATCAAGCAAAAAGATTCCCAGAAATGCCTAGCTAAGGGGTCAATAGCAAATAAATGAATCCTTCTTCGGGATTTCGATGAGAAAGGAAGAATCACGTGATTCAAAACCCAAACAGAGATTGAGTACCAGACGATTTATCATGCAAAATCAGTCCACGTTACCAACATTCAATGGCTATCAGATTAACTTAGGTAGAATTGAAAGGGCTGTATTAATTTCAGCTTTCTAGCAAAGTTCCATCGGGGGAGGGGGTCCTTGGTGCTCTCTAAGCTTTCTTGTTTTCTTGCAGATGTTTCATTATTTATTTATTTATTTATTTATGAGACTTATATACCGCTTTAAGTGCAAGCACTCTCTAAGCGGTGTACACCAGTAAGCAATGTATATATATATATATATATTTACATTGCCCCCAACAATCTGGGTCCTCATTTTACCTACCCCGAAAGGATGGAAGGCTGAGTCAACCTTGAGCCGGTGAGATTTGAACCGCTGACCTGCTGAACACAGTCAGCTAAAGTGGCCTGCAGTACTGCACTCTAACTGCTGTGCCACCTCGGCTCAGGTACCAAATTGTGTTACCCAAACCAGGTAACACAATTCCATCTTTTCTTCACTTTGTGCAATAGAAACAATCTGAAATATATCTAATGCTAACCCTAACCCTCATATCTATTCTACTTACTCTAGACTTTCTTGGGGTTTTTTTTTTTCCTTTGAAAATGTTTTGCTTCTCATCCAAGAAGCTTCTTCAATTCTATGTCTCTTCGGTTCTTCAGTTAGAAATGAAGAAACTTCTTGGATGTTTTCAAGGGGGAAAAAAAACCCCAAGAAAGTCCACTTTCCTTTTGGAAAAAGCACCTTTGGGACCATGATTGAGAATGATTGAGACTCTCCAGAGACAGTTTGCCCAAAATATTGTGAAAGGACATTACAAGCTGTAAAGTCTCTGAGATGCTTTTAAGAATTCACTCTCTTTTAAGAATTTAAGAATTCACTCTCTTAAAGGCAGAGAACATTGAGTTTTCAATTTCTCCCAGTTTGGTCCTTCACCCAGAGCAGAGATGGGGAAACAAACAAAAAAAAGGTTCAGCAATTCAACAGTCTCTATTGTCCAAACACTACACAATAAAGCATGTGTATATACATGTGTAATGTTTAATTACTTAAGAGATGTTTGTGTATAATAATATGATTTGATAAGATATCATACTATTGGTTTTTTTAAATTAAATTAGTTACTATTGGAAGAAGAAATAAATCAGATTGGTGGAAAAAAAAGGGATGAGAGGAATTAAGAACTTGAATATATTTGCAAGAGGTATTTGAAGTGATAAAAAGAGCCGAGGCGGCGCAGCAGTTAAGAGTGCAGTACTGCAGGCCACTTTAGCTGACTGTGTTCAGCAGGTCAGCGGTTCAAATCTCACCGGCTCAAGGTTGACTCAGCCTTCCATCCTTCCGGGGTAGGTAAAATGAGGACCCAGATTGTTGGGGGCAATGTAATATATATATATATATATATATACATTGCTTACTGGTGTACACCGCTTAGAGAGTGCTTGCACTTAAAGCGGTATATAAGTCTCATAAATAAATAAATAAATAAATAATATGCTGATGTAAAATACTATCTGATTATGGTAACTAAAATTGATTTTAAGTTTTAATAAACAGGTTTAGTAGTAATAGAAATTTAGGATAGAAATGAAATATATTAAATTTACTATGTTACTTGAGGGAAATAGAGAGATGATAGCGAATGTATTAAGTTGAGCTGTTGTTGTGTGATTTTATGTTGGAATCTTTGTTTACCCAAACACCACGGTGTTTCTTAAATACTTTTTGTTAAAACTATAAAACCAATAAAATATATTTAAAAAAAAAGCATGAGTTGGTTTCCATAATTGACTTATCTCTCTTTTTCTCCTTGAGTTCCTCCTCCTCCAAATATTAGAAGAAACTACGGTAGATACAACAGTTAACAAAGACAGAACTTGTAGACAATGAATGTAACACTCAAAGATGGGAATTCTTTTGAAGTCTGAGGACACATTATTGCAAGTAGGAGGAAGAGAAGAGATGGAGGACAATTCTGTTCCTTTAGAAGGGCAAAGTAAATCTTTGCCACGTGATGCATTACAATATTGTGACTTTAATGTCTCCCACTCAAAGGTCAGTCTCTCTGAAGAAAACCTTTATATCCAGAAATGCAACATAAACAAAAGAAGCTATTAGACACCTACCTTTTGATGAGGGATCACAGGCATGGGAGAATCAATCCTCGGGGTGCTTGTTGGTATCGGGATTGGACGTTTTGATCTGGCAAGAACACGAGAAAAAAAATTGGTTATTGAGCAGCTGATGATTTCCCACATCTTTTAAATAATTTATTGTATACCACTGCCAACACTGGCTTTAATCTTTGCACCGGCCTTCCAGTTTTACTAATGAATCATCCATTTCCCCCCCCCCTTTCAAATCTGGGCACATGTGCTTAAATCCTTTCATCCATTCATCTCCTTCTTCCAAACAACAAGGACATTTCAAAATTGCAAATAAGAAGAAAGAGTGCCATATCAGTACAAACATACACACGAAGCCGGAGCCTTAAGTTGCATGAAAACAAGGAGAAGAGAAGGTGAGGTCTAAGGAACAACATTTCTTTAAATTCAATTTTCCGCAAGGCCACAGAAGAAACACAACTTCATTGGTTGGAAGAAATAACACACCAGGCCAATGTCCATCATGATCTACTTCTTCTTTCCTTCTATGATGTTGGCTGATCACCCAACAATTGTCTGTTTAATTTCACATTTAGACCTTCTAATTGTACTAAGCCAACAGGCTAGGGCACAGAGACAAAACCGGACAAAGCTATTTCTCAGAGGCTTCTGAATTCAAAATAAAATAAAATAGGGAAACTAGAGATGAAGAATATATTAAGGTTGAATGAACATTGCAATATTTATCTTTCTTGTTTTACAGTCAGGATGTCCACAGGATAGAGACTAAAAGTTTCTTTGATCGCACCATTGCAACTGCTATTTTGACTGGTTTGCCCATACCCTGTGGATGCTCCTAGTTGGAGTTAAGGACTGACGCTAAATCGGGCCTCTTCTGATCCTGGGTTTTGAACTGTAGAGGCAGGCAGATATGAGGGGAAGGCATGACACGATCATGACATTAACATATCTTGCAGCACCCGGCAATGTTTGTAAACTCTCTCTACTACACATGTGTTTGAACTGAAAAACAGTTGTCAAGGTTCAGAGAGTTCAGAAAGGAAAATGTAAATTGCAGCTTCTTGGCAAAGCCTTTGTCATGGTTCCGACAGATGAAACTCTTCAAAGAACTTTGAGGCATTGTTTACCTTAAAGAATCTTTATTCGAGCAGCATAGCATCAGCAGGTACATAGGCCAAGCCAAAATCTGAATTCCCCTCCCCTGAGCACATAGTATCAAAGCACAATTCCCTCCTCTAATTAGTGGTCATAAATCACATTCTCCGATTAGTTTGAAATGCAAGCTTTCCCTCCTGTTCTGCAGTCCGCCAATTCTTATCATCGCTTATTTCAAAAAACCTTGGTTCTCACACTAGTTACAATATTGTTATGTCTAACTAAACTCCCATGCACATTCTTCCTCCTCCCCCCAGTATCATCTAATTCTAACTCTAATTCTAAGAGTAAAACATAAGAAGGAAAGTGGCTGCATCTCCATATGCTGTCAAAGCAAAAACATCCGATGTTAGCAGCGTTGACATCCCTACTCCATTCCTCTTTCTTCCCTTCCCTTTATTTCAAATGCTGATGTCAATTAAGCCGAAGAGGCAATTAATATTGTCCTCATATTCATAGATGGAATGAGAAAGAATGACTTGATTGCTAATGCTTTGATGTCTGATTCTAGGATTTTGCAATTGTTCTCTCCTCTTGTAAATAAAGAAGCTCATTTTAGAAATAAATTTGCACCTCCCGTGTTACACCGACTCTATCTTCTTTAAGTGTCCACTAAGACAAATTCACCCTTTATCACTCAGATGTACTGAAGCAGACACCAAGGGTTAGAGATTGTCTTTCTCATTTCATGCAGGCCTTCTCTGTAACAAGTCTTCTATTGGATCCGTCTGAGTAAGGGGAAGACCACATCTACTTCCAGGCAGAGCTTGTGGAATACTCTGTGCAGCACAACATCACTCTGAAGAAGGACAATGAAGTCCAGGGTGAATTAAATGGCCTCCAAATGGAATCATTGTGCATACAGTCCCCCAACATGGTGTGTATGTCATCCTAAACCATGGTTTGCTTAAGCATAACTTAGGGAATATAATGGCTGGTTTCCAAAACCATGGTTATAATAATAATAATAATAAAAGTTGGAAGGAACCTTGGAGGTCATCGAGTCCAACCCCCTGCTCAGGCAGGAAACCCTACACCATTTCGGACAAATGGCTGTCCTGTCTCTTCTTAAAAACTTCCAGTGTTGGAGCATTCACCGCTTCTGGAGGCAGGTTGTTCCATTGGCTAATTGTTCTAACTGTCAGGAAGTTTCTCCTTAGTTCTAGGTTGCTTCTCTCCTTGATTAGTTTCCATCTGTTGCTTCTTGTCCTGTCTTCAGGCGCTTTGGAGAACAGCTTGACTCCCTCTACTTTGGGGCAGCCCTTGAGATATTGGAAGACTGCTATCATGTCCCCCCTTGTCCTTCTCTTCGTTAAACTAGATATACCCAATTCCAGCAACCGTTCCTTATATGTTTTAGCCTCCAGTCCCCTAATCATCTTTGTTGCTCTTCTCTGTACTCTTTCTAGAGTCTTTTTTACATTGTGGTGACCAAAACTGGATGCAGTATTCCAAGTGTGGCCTTACGAAGGCACTGTAAAGTGGTATTAATACTTCACGAAGAGTATAAGATGGATTGTAATAAGATGGGTGTATTGGTGTATACAGTACATGTGAAGAGATACACAGACTTAACCTAGGGATTCAAGGAGATCCAGTCTGACTAGAGCCATTAAAACAAATATAATAAGATTGAACTTCAGGGAACAGTTCAGCCAAGCCACTTTTGAACTGAATATTTGAATTGATCATCTGCACAACCCACACTGACTCATCACACATCTCGACAAACGCTTTTAAGAACCACCCTGTGGTACACAAGTTAGACCTAGCACGCTTTAACATGTATTCTGTTCAATGTGCTGGCAAATCCATAGCAATGCAAAGGACCGTTACATAGACAATATCCTTCACTGCTATTTAATAGAGGGGTACCAATCATGAATTTGTTGGCCCTATCAAGATTCCTCTGCTGAACAAACCTACTTAAAGCTTGCAACCCCCCCCCCCGATATTCTATCTGCCAATGGTTGAATCAATTTCAAGGTGCGAGAATTAGAAAAAAAATATTTCTTACTCGCTTCTCAGCTGACTTGGAGCATTCCCCCCCCCCACTCATCAAATTCTCACATTTATTCACCAACATTTGAATGATTAACAAGATTCGCCTTTACAACAAGGAAGATAACTTTTCAAAACTGTTAAATCAAGAGTTATCCATAAAGTAGTAAAGGTGGGATAAAAATCTAACAAATAATAAATAAGTCTTTCCTTCACTTATGAATCTGAATGCTATAACAGATCATGATTTATATGGATTTAGAAAGGGGTGCTAAGCAAATGCATTAGATCTGAAAGAGCAACAGAAATGAATCTGTTGTGAAGCCATTGAACACAGTCCGTCTTTGTTGTTGTTGGGAATAGTTTGTTTCCTACATCAATGGTGGACCATGTTGGAATTTTTCCATGGTTTGACAGCCCAACTGGGATTATCACAGATTTGCTGCAGCTGTTTCATCAGTAACTCTTTTATAACTTCTACAGTTGAACCATGGTTGTGACAAAAACATCTCTCACGCTTAATTAACCATTCCTTGACACTTGAAACACAATAAAAATATATCGGCTCCAACAGTCTGTGCAAAACAGAGATCATCCATGCTCATCCGTCTGTATTGATGTCCTAACCACCAAAGAGAACCGTTCTCACAATCTAATAGGGACACTTACGTCAATGCAGTTCTAGTATTTTTTTGATCCGGTGTGTTTAAAAGATTTACAAGATGGAGAAGACAATTGATGAGCTATAGATAGGGTTGGCAAGTCATATGATACTTGTTTTCTATTGATGGCAGCCTGAATATTTCCATCACTTCAATATCTTCAGTGTAAATATAAGGGCCATTATTCTGTACCTTTTGTCATTGTTTGGGGTTTTTTATACTTAATTTTAATTCCATTTTTTTTCATTTAACTACCAGCCCCACTAAACACTCTCCATTTAGTTTTGTAATTTTTGGAGAGAAGGAAAGCCCAGGTCTAAACAAAGCACTACTTACTGTATTATTTTGATTTTTTTTTTTTACAAATGGCGCCACACTGAGAAGCATTATAATAAAGTAACCAGGGCTGTAAAAATTTAAACAGCCACTAGAGGGCAGGAAAGGAACACGTAGAACACTGGCCTTGTTGCCTTCTAGTGGTTGCCTAGAATTCTGCAGCCCTAATGATGAGAAATGTTTCTGCTTGAGGGTCTCAGTTAACCATGCAGCTTTTTTTTTAACTTTTAATCATATTTATTTCTATATAAATAGATGTAAAAAAAATAACCATTTCCCCGCCCCTCCATGCAAACACCAGCTTTGATGCTGCTGTAGTAGCCATAGCTTTTGAAAAGCAAGAACAGTTGGCCTATTGAGTTTTCCATTCGGCGAATTTGAGAAGCAGGCTAGGCTAATAAAAAGAAGTTCCAAATTCTATAGAAGCTACCGTATTGTAAATAATCCCCATGAAACTGTCAGAGTCAGAATTGATAAAGGAAATGTCATTGCTGCAAGGAGCAATCCGGGAAAGGCATATCTCTCTGGCAGTAGCAGAAGTCTCCATCTTAGATCTAATAAAAGTGGACCTCCTATTTCTCCACTTTTTTTTTTTCTATTCAGGGTGAAGGAGACCTCGTTGCAAACTGCCCTCCGTCGAATTTTTATGTGCTTTTTTTAATAGATGCATCTCAATCTTCCTAAACTGAAAAAAAAGAGAGAGAGCCTAAAATACCTGTATCTGATCTTCATTTGAACCACTCTAGCTCTGCATTTAAGTTGGTTTTCTAGAATCTTGCTCTGGAATTTACTTTAGGAGGAGGAAATAAAACAAGCATCCCATCCTTTGGAAGTCTCTTCCTTGAGACACCGGAGATGGAGAACTTCAGACATGAGGAGGCAACCAAATCTTCTGAGCCAACCTGTCCAAATCCTTGAATTTGTCTCAGGCTAGGCGGCTTCCTGATGTCAGTGTGGCTCCACAACGGTTTTGGATTTGGTTGTGTCCTCTGCTGAGATGTGGACATTCTGAATAGCAGAACGTAGACTCGGACAAAAAATGATTCTTCATTCTTATCATTAAGGCTACATGAACCTGGACTGACACTAGACCAGTGTTTCCCATCTTTAGTCCTTTTTAAGAGGTGCCAGAATACCCCAAGAAGCCCATGCCTCTTAAAATGGGTAAAGTTATGTAACATTGCTACTAAAAAGCAGAGACATCACCCTGCCAACAAAAGTGCGTATAGTCCAGGCCATGGTTTTCCCAGTTGCAATGTATGGCTGTGAAAGTTGGACCATAAGAAAGGCTGAGCGCCAAAGAATTGATGCCTTTGAACTATGGTGCTGGAGAAGACTCCTGCGAGTCCCTTGGACTGCAAGGCATTCAAACCGGTCAGTCCTAGAAGAGATCAACCCTGACTGCTCTTTAGAGGGCCAGATCCTGAAGTTGAAACTCAAATACTTTGGCCACCTAATGAGAAGGAAGGACTCACTGGAGAAGGGCCTAATGCTGGGAAAGATTGAGGGCAATAGAAGAAGGGGACGACAGAGAATGAGATGGCTGGATGGAGTCACTGAAGCAGTAGGTGTGAACTTAAATGGACTCCAGAAGATGGTAGAGGATAGGAAGATCTGGGGGAACGTTGTCCATGGGGTGGCGATGGGTCGGACACGACTTCTCAATTAACAACAACAACAACATGTAACACTGCACTACATAGTGACAAAGCAAAAATGTGGCTGAAATCATCCAGCCATCTAGGTTTTTGCAACAGATCTGTGGAGCCTTTGAACCCAAGGACCAACCTCATTCTCCTATGCCGAAATGACCGTGCAAACCTTTACTAATAGATCAGTTCACTTCAGGCCTGGCCAAAGAAAGACGGACAGGTGCCTTTTAGATATCATATAACAGGTATCTCTCTGAGATCTCTCTCAGTTTGCTTCTGTGCAGTATAACTGCCCCCCCCAAACATTTCAGGTGGAACCGTTAAGCTACCTTGCAGAGAGAAAACAAACAAGCAATGAATTCTTGTGCAGATAGTAACTTATCTTGCTTACTTTTGAAGAGTAAGATTCAGGTTGTAGTTTGCTGATTTGATCATATTCTGGGCCTCTAGGTGGGTCAAGCCATCTGTGTTGACGCCGTCAATGGCTACCACCATATCTCCCTGGCTCATCTGAGACTGGGCTGCCTTGCTGCCAGGGGTGATCTGTAAAAGAAAGGAGAAGAGAAGGTTAAGAATATATGCCACCCATGTCTGGATTCACATCCCCTCAAGCAGGAGTCTGCAACCTTGACAACTTTAAGACTTGTGGACTTCAGCCCCCAGAATTCCTCAGCCAGCATATGTATTTATGGATCTATCAAATGAGGTAACCAAAGTTGTCATTCACCTGGATGCAGATCCCTGTCCTAGAGAGTCGCCTTATATAATTGACAAGGTCAGGTTTAAACCACACTTGGCATCCTGAAAGTCAGTTCCCTCTTCTTTTATTTTTTTTTTTTTTTTTGCAAGGCCCAAAATCAAAAGAAGACAAAACAGGAGTCAAAATAAAACATGTGCATCAACCAAGGGCTGAAAGACACATGTTCCATCACTAATCTCCCTCCTCATAGACAAGGCTTCCACGGGGAAACAGTGGACATTTTGGAATAAGCCAGATTCAAAAATGCAAGAGAACTCACTCTGACCAAGTGGCCATCAGCCAACACATAAATCTATTTATGGATCTATCAAAAGGTGTAACCAAAGATGTCATTCACCTGGAGATCTCTAACTCCACCGAGTCCCTCCATGAGCAGAACCAATTTAATACAAAGATCCATCTTATCATTGGCCAACCCATAAACCTCACTTCTCCACATCTCCTGCATGTGTGATATTACCCACTGTGATAATAAAATATCTGGAATTAAAAACCCTCAAAACAACACTGCACACCAACCCTGAGCTACACATCTTTTCTACTGTCATAACCTATTTCAGAATGATAGATGAATTCAAGAAATCAATCTACATTACAGTGAAAATCCATTTCATGATCCTACTTTTCTCAATTCCTGCTAATAATGATGCTCTTTGGAAGCCTTAAACTGTATTAAACTGACGGTTATGTGAGAGGGAAAAAAAATGGAATAGCCACAATCTCCTCCACACGTTCTTCACATTCATTGCTCTTCTAGTTTTTTGAAAGAGGTGCACAGTTCAGGTCAAAGGACGTGTTTACACTAGTGCGTAGGTTACAGTGTGGATAACTAAACAAACAGGATCTGAGTTAGCAAGTGCAGCTTTCATGGACACAATATATTTTGATGTCAGAGAACCATGACCCACGGGGTGAACTTTGGTCCATCCTGACCAATATGTTTAGAGTAGCTTATATGAGATAGACTACCATGTAAACTGAATTAAATAAATATCCATGCATCCACTGATAATTGCAGAGGAGAATTTCTGGGTGGATTGTGCTTTGAAGAAAACTAATATTTCTATCAACAAGAATGTTGAGAACGTGATCCTGAAACCCTACTTAAGTAGTCTTGTATCTATTATATCTTATACACTTGAACCTTCAGTTTTAAAGCTTTGCCCTCCCTTGCTTGCACACATTTTGCTACCCACAGGGACACTTGTGATGAATGGCAGGGTCTCTGCACCCAAAAGATTTTGCAGGCATTTAAAACAAGCATGGTGATAGTGATCAAGGACACTTCTCCTTTTTACGTGTGCCTCATATGTGATGCCTGTGAAAAGAGGCGGGATTTCAAGCAAGAGAGCCTGTAAATAAAACCCTACCCCAGGGGTAGGCCACCATGGCTCCTTTATGACTGGTGGACTTCAACTCCCAGAATTCCTGAGCCAGCCACGCTGAGGGGAAAGGGAGAGGTTTCCAAGCTGAGCCATGGCTGGCTCAGGAATTCTGGGAGTTGAAGTCCACGAGTCATAAAAGAGCCAAGGTTGCCTACCCCTGCCCTACCCCTTTGACGTGCCTCTCGACATATGTAAAAAGGTGGTGGGGTTTTGATCACATAGTTGTGGCTTCTAATTGAACATTTATAGTCATCTTCTACGGCAATCCCTGAATATGCCTTAGTTGTGTTGAATGAGCCAAGAGAGGAAGCCAATTTTTCTCACAGTACAGATCTGTTCCTTTTGAAATACGGTCCTCTGTTTAAACAATCAAACGCTCCACACATAATGCAATTGTCGATTCTTGATACTTCACGAAAAGCTACGCAAATACATCATCCAGGTCCCCCACACTTTGAGATGGGGATGAAAAAAAACAACAAGTTGAGACAAATGACAACTTCCAAATATTGCTGGAAGGAGCAATCTAATTAGGGTCCAGCTGTCTCCAGCTTGGCTTCCGGCAGCTTCAGAGTAAACGCACACACATACACTTCTCAGCAAGGATACAAGAATGGTTTTCCATCACGTTCAGTTTCATTTTATGTTTTAACTTCCCCATCTAACATGCAGCCCTAGCAGAGTCTGTCAAAAGTTCATAAATCTAACAAAATGGTGTTCAGTAAAAATATTTTCTGCAGTCATAATAGGGCTTATCTAACATAATTCTTTAAACATAAAAGGTTCTCCCTGCTTCATAAGCTATGTTTACTTATCAAGAGAAGCAGTGATGTGTGAGCACAACTCACACAGGGTCTTTGAAAAAGGGAGAGGGGGCCTCCCTCCCTCTAAGAATATATATTGCTCACATCTTGAAACACCGCTGCCCATCTTGTCTGAATAATGTTAACTATTCCGACTTGCTGATGTATTCAAATTCAGGAAAGCTGATGCGGGCTGATTCACACCTGTTCCTACTTATCAAGGATGAAGATTCATTGCTGAACCTTTGGGGAGGGGCAGGAGGAGGAGGAGGAGGAGGAGGAGGAGGAGGAGGAGGAGAAGGAGAAGGAGAAGGAGGAGGAGGAGAAGAAGAAGAAGAAGAAGAAGAAGAAGAAGAAGAAGAAGAAGAAGAAGAAGAAGAAGAAGAAGAGAAGAAGAAGAGAAGAAGGGAGGAGGAGGAGGAGGAGGAGGAGGAGGAAGGAGGAGGAGGAGGAGAAGAGAGAAGAAGAAGAGGAGGAGAAGAGAAGAAAGGAGAAGGAGGAGGAGGAGAGGAGGAGAAGAAGAAAGAAGAAGAAGAAGAAGAAGAAGAAGAAGAAGAAGAAGAAGAAGAAGAAGAAGAAGAAGAAGAAGAGGAGGAAGAAGAGGAAGGAGGAGGAGGAGGAGGAGGAGGAGAGGAGGAGGAGGAGGAGGAGAAGGAGGAGGAGGAGGAGAAGAAGAAAGAAGAGGAGAGGAGAAGGAGAAGAAGAGAAGAGGAAGGAGGAGGAGAGAGAGAAGAAGAAGAAGAAGAAGAAGAAGAAGAAGAAGAAGAAGAAGAAGAAGGAGGAGGAGGAGGAGGAGGAGGAGGAGGAGGAGGAGGAGAAGAAGAAAAAGAAGAAGAAGAAGAAAGGAGGAGAGGAGGAGAAGGAGAAGGAGAAGAAGAAGAAGAAGAAGAGGAAGAGGAAGAGGAAGAAGAGGAGGAGGAGGAGGAGGAAAAGGAGAAGGAGAAGGAGGAGAAGAAGAAGAAGAAGAAGAGGAGGAGGAGGAGGAGGGATAGTCACATGGATTTCAGTATAGATAATTGACTCATCAATGTAGAACTAATACAATCAAACTGAAAAATTATGTCCTATAAACTTAATGTCTTTTCATTCACCTAACTTTTGTGATGATTCCTCCTATGAAACTGGAGGAAGACAAAGTCAAGATAAGAAGCTTCACCATCCTTGATCGTATCCATGAATCAATCCCAAAGGATGCAAAACATGCAGAACAGGTATTGTATTCTAGTTGTGGTGAGTTGCCAACCTCTTTTGAGAGGAATCTCTACAAAACCTCAATTTTGCAACCACTGCCCCTTTCCTTCTATGGTGAGATCTCAATTCCTTATATGCACATTCTAAATATAGGCTTCCAGACTCTCAAGGGAAAAAAACCCACGTTGTAGTACAGCAACTTTCATGTCTTTATCTATTCCCGGGTTGCTGTAGTGTAGACTCTGAAACTATTGGTGTAAGATACGTTTGACACATATTACACTCAACAGCTCCTGAAAGGAATTACTCATCATAATTCCTGCTCAGGTAGGTGGTTCCATTAACAGTGCTCAGATGGGTTATTTAATCTAGATTGCAAAACTCCTGATGGTCAGAAAAGCATTAGAGCAGGTTTCTCAACCTTGACAATTTTAAGGCATGTGGACTTCAACTCCCAGAATTCCACAGCCAGCATTGCTGGCTGTGGAATTCTGGGAGTTGAAGTCCACATGCCTTAAAATTGTCAAGGTTGAGAAACACTGCATTAGAGAATCTTGAGGCCCAAATCTGATACCGGTATAGGCAAGCAACATTTCTCTTGAATTCGTGAAACTGAAAAAGCTTGGCTCGGTTCAAAGATGAAAACCTCACCTCATCTATCCCAAGCCTCCTGTTGAAAGAGCGGCAGGTTAGAAATAAATCCTATTAAAGATAGATGAGTTTCAACTGGTTGGTAGAGGAGTGATCTAGGCAAAGCCCTTTGAGATTCAGCAGGATCATTGGCATCCTTCAATCTCGAGAGACTATGATATCGTGCTCTGGAAAGAGGTCCTAAGGCAGCATCTGGTGTGGCTAAAAAGGCCAATTCAAGAGTGGCAGTCCCTTCCACACTGAAGGCAGATACAATCTGTCCCCTGTCCAGCCCCCAGATTTCACTGGTTCCGGCACTGCCTCTTGGCCTCAGCCTGTGCACAAGTGTGTCTTCAAATTGGAGAAAGCCATGCTGTGTCTTTAACCTCCAGGCTGAACGATCAGAGGTCAAAATTTAAGGGCGGGGAAAGACTATTATTTACTTGGAGATTATCCAGCAGGATAATCTCCAAGTAAATAATAATCTTTCCCCTCCCTTAAATTTTTCCAGGCTCCCTGGGACACTGTGATGGCTTCTCAGTATTTTGATCAAGTCCACAAGAACTGAAACATCCAGAAAAGTGATTAACGCTGGTGAGCAAAGCAAAGTGAAGAGTAGCTGAAGAGAACACACTTTAAGCAAAGAGAACAACTTACTAAAATTAGATCCTAATTGATTTCCACTATCTGTTTCTAAGGAAGCACATGACTGGGACCAGCACAAAGAATACTTGGATAATCAACAGTGAGCGATTGTTCCAAAGCACCGTGACA